TCAAGCAAATAATCTCGGCAATCTTTCGAAAAGATAAATTTGTTTACTCGTTTATCATGTCCTAATGTATGTCAATCTCATTTTACCATAAGCTTTGATATAATAATATAACCATAATTTTATTATTTTAATATAGTATGGGGTCGTTTACTTTGCGTGACGGGATTGGATAATTTAGTCCAATCAACTTTACACGTCAGCATTTTGTCCAATAAATCAAGCATTTACTATATGGGACTAAATAAGATGATAAAACTATAAATGACACATTTACCCTTTTGAAACATACAAAAAAACTTGCATACGAAAATGGATACCAAGCACAACGAAATAGCTCGATCATCCAAAACTGGATGACTGAACAATGGATATAATTTACACGTAGGAGATGAATTCAAAATTCCACAAAGCAATTAAAATACGTAAGATCAAAAAATGAAAAAAAAAAATTGAAGAAATCACCTGATATAGGGTTTCTTCAAAAAAAAAAAAACGATTTACCAATCCCTAATTCCAATTAATCGACAAATATAGACTATGGTTGCTTACTGAAGAATTGGAAAACACAAAGAAGGCAAAATTTGAGCTTAGATTTCAGCCCGACGGAAATACCGAAGCTCTGTGCTTCTTCCCCACTCGTCTCTGCAAAAACTATAATGGCCCGTTTTCAATTTTTATATGGTACAAATTTGTAAATACATGAAAAATCAGGGATGTTTTAGTTTTTTCGCAGCAATATTGAGGGCAAAATGGTCATTGTAAGATTGGGATTAAATTATCCGAGGGTGAGGCCGGGATCAATTTAATCGACCAACAGTTGATAAGCAATGCCACATGTGCGCTATGTCAGAGCAATTCCATCCCAATCCATGTAAGTAAACAGATGTTATTCCAGGACTATTTTATTTATCATGTCCTGTCACGCAAAGTAAACGACCCATATATGTATTAACTATTTGGAAAAGGTAGGATTTGCCATTTATATTGAACGTCCTGGTAGAATTTTTATTTGTTATTATTTATTGTTATTATTGAGTTTGAAGGTTCTTAATTAAGTTGTTACATATGCCAACTGTAATGGTATGATTGGTATAATGGAATGAAATTTCGTAGGAATAGAATGAATTGAAGAATGGAATGATTATGGGAATGGAATGAAATAAATTTTGTCATTGATGTGTTTGGTATGCAGAACGAATAAGACCTGAATAGAATGATATTATGATTTTTTATAATAAAAATAAATAAAAGTTTTTTTTTTTAAAAATAATATAATTTTAATAAATTATATATAAATGCCTTTTTTAATAATATATAAAAATAAAATAATATATTTTTAATAATATATAAAATAAAATAATATTTTTTATAATAATATAAAAAATAATATATTTTTAAATTATATATAAAAATAATATATTCTCAAAATTAATATATTTTAATATATAAAAAAATAATATATTTTTAATAATATACAAAAATAAAAAGTAATATATTTTTAGTAATATATATTTTTTTAATTAAACAATAACTAAAAGTAAGTTTTCAATTTTTTTATGTGAATTTTATTTTTTAAAATAATATATTTTTAATAGTATATATTTTTATTTTTTTATAAAGCAATAAATAAAAGTAAGTTTTCAATTTTTTTCATTTGAATATTATTTTTTAAATAATATATTTTTAGTAATATATAAAAATATAAAGTAATATATTTTTAATAACATATACTTTTATTTTTTAATTAAGCAATAAATAAAAGTAAGTTTTCAATTTTTTTTATTTGAGTTTATATTTTAAATAATATATAAAAATAAAAAGTAACATATTTTTAATAATATATATTTTTACTATTTTTTAATATATGTGTTGCAACACAATAAATTAATAAAGTCATTCCCAATGGAATTGGAATGGGTAATCCCATGGATTATGAGAGGAATGAGTAATCCCATAATAATAGAAATAGTGATTTCATGGTAATGGTCATTCCTTGTGAGCAAAACATACCAAGTATAGGAATGGGAATCACATAAAGAATGATCATTCCATTCATGGTTTATTCCCATATACCAATCATGCTCTAAGTCTCTTGTTGTTTAGTTTTGGGCTAAAGGAGACGGAATGTGTTTTTGGGAGATTGAGGAATCGTAGACCATTTTTTTTAATGTTAATGTGAAGTTATATTTAGTTTATTTCTAGTTTATTATAGGACATTACAAGAATATAGACTCTAAATTTTAATTTATATATAGTTTATTATTAGTTTATCATACAATATATATATATATATATATATATANNATATATATATATATATATATATATAGAGAGAGAGAGAGAGAGAGAGAGAGAGAGAGAGAGAGTTTATTTTTAGTTTATTATTCCCGAGAAAATTATATATATAGTTTATTTTTAATTTATTATAGTTTATAAAATTATTTCTCTTCACACACAAAAAAAAATTATATACATATTATTTTCAGTTTATTATATAATAATACAAACTATAAATTTCGATATAGTCCTAGTTTATTATATTTATAAAATTAATTCCTTTACACATACAAAAATATAAATTTATATATAATTTAATTCCAATTTATTATATAATAATACAGTCTATAAATTTCGATATGTCTATTTTTATTTTATTATAGTTATAATATTAACTTGTACAAAACTTGTGTATTACATGGGTGCTTGCTAATTTTTTTTCTTAAAATTTAAAGTTAACGATACAAAGTGGTTGAAATTTTAAATACTTTTTAAGAGAATATATATTATTATATTTTTTAGCGTGACACTTGTTTCTTGTGTGATTTAACTGTATTATATTATAATAATTTTTCTAACTTGTAATATGTAACTACATTAAACATAAATATATTAATTGAGAAATAATTTTATTTATTAATTAATTTAAATAAATAAGTCTATTGTTATTATAAAAATAACTATCATTTATTATTTTATATATACAATATTGATGTCAAATCGAAGTTTATCAAAAGATGATTAATTTGATATATTACATATGTAAAATCGCTAAGAAATACAAAAGTTATCACTTTGAAAATAAATTTACAATTCAATATTTATAACAAAAAATGATATTGAAATATAGTTAATACTTCTAAAATGATCATAAATAAATTAACATATTTATGGTAATCCGAACCTAATTAATTTTGGATTGAAATTAAATTAAAATTTATCCAAACAAAATAATAAAGCATGAAATTTTGACACCTAGGATCCCGAAGCATGCGAGTCTGCCACTTAGACTCAGCATATTCGGGAATTATATATAGGGAGAGGGAAATTATATATAGGGGGAGGGGGATTATCTTACACACACAAAAATATAATTTATGTATAATTTATTTTCTGTTGATTATATAATAATACATACTGTAAGTATAGATATATTAGTTTCGAGAGAATGACGTGAAGAAAGAGTCGGAAAGGAGTTAATTTGGAAGAAGATAATTTGGCATTTGATCATGCAACTTAGAGCATTTCCAGTGATATGTTAATTATAAAATTGTAGAAGTTTTGGACAAAAAACCTTCTCCAACTGTGCTTTTTTAGTTTCTACTTCTCGTGATGTGGCATGAACGAGAGCCCAAAATTGTAGAAGCCTTTCTACGTCTGGAAGTCAGTCTAGAAGAATAAAATACCACATGTATACCGGTTGTGGGTAGTAGCTCTCAAAAAAATAAATATACCAGATATAAAGGTATCTCAAAAAATAAATATTGGACGTTGCTATGATTGATTAGAAGAATAATTTATAGAGCCTAGTTTTTTTTTTTTTTTTT